GAAATCGTCTAACAATGCATTTTTCAGATATAATCCCCATCATTAAGTAACTCATGACTGTATTTATTCTCCCTTCTTCTAGGCTGAAGGCAAATCAAGCCTGAGTTTCCTAAGCAGCCTAAGGTTTGTGCAATTGCTCAATGAAGTCACGAAGGATGCAGGCTCTTCTTGTTTTCTATTCCACTATCTATAGCACGTAGTTCTCATCATAGGGGTTATAAGATAATTGTTCTGCCCCCAGATGTTGGTTCCATACTCCAGTTAGAAAGAAGAAAGGGATAATAAGGAAGAAGGGAAGTTTCTGTGGTTGGGGGAAAGAAGCTTTCCTAGAAATCAGAAGGACACAACAGCTCACATCTCATTGGTCAGAACAGTATCAAATGTCTGCCCTCAGCATCAAGGAAGGCTGTGAATTGGAGTTTGGAAGTTTTTCTTCTTACGGACATGCTACAGCTTCAAACAAAATTCGGGTTCTGTTAGTGGAGAAGAAGTGAGGAGAGATGGATATTGGATAGGTAACTGGCATTGACTACCAGAGGGGGAAAAGATCAGAAAACAGGGAGATTAGGCAGGCATTTCTGATGAAGGAGGGGTCTGGAGACTTGTGGCATGGTGATCATGGTGGATGTGGTTGGAAGGGCTGGTGCAGGATGCATTGAAGGTAAAGCAATAAGGATTTACAGAGAGAGTTTATGTGATGGGGGATGGAAAAAACAAAAACTCATGAGCCATCCTTGATTTAGGATAAGTTTTGAATGTTGAGCTGCTTGGACTTAGTGACAATGTCACAAGACTCAGAGCTCCATGGTTCACTCTCAATTTCTCAAGGAACATCTGACAAAAGCAGGGAATGAATAGCTGGTATTTTGGATGATTGATTCTCAAAGGCTGAAAGAATGGGGCCAAATCTAGGTGGGTGTCTTGGCTATGCAATGGATGAAGAGTGATGTAAAACTAAAAAGTGGAAAAAACAGGTTTGGGGATATGGTAAACACCCAGCATTAGCTCTTGCCATCTGTGCCTGCAGATGACCTCACTTCTGAGCCTTGGCCTCCTCCTATCCAAAATTAGGAGATTGATAGCATTGTCATTTTAGGGTTTTTCTGAGAATTACTTGTGATCTTACATAAGAATGACTTAGCTTCTCTCTTGGTTCCTGGCCTGGGGATGTACTCTCTTTTTCAAAGCCCTAGGAATCTCTGAAATCAGACAAATACAGTGTTTTAGAGGCAATCTTATGTCCTGGCAAAGGTCAGACTTCAGTATCAGACAGATAGGGTTTCAAAACCAACTTCTTATCAGCAATGCAACTGGCTGACTTAACCTCTTCCAACCACAGTCTCACAAATGCAAAACAGAGATAATGAGTCATGGGTTTACTGAGAGCAGCACTGAGACCTTGTTGGGAGAACTAAGTAAACTTAAATAAAATATAGCACATAAAATTTGTAGCCCAAGACCTTGCATGTGGCAGGTCCTTGTTCAATGTTCATTCTCCTCCATCAAGATAAGTGGGGAGACATAAGCAGCAAGAGATTACTTAGCCTAAAGCTATTGGGTTTCCCATGACACTGGGTTCTTCATCCAGGCCTGGTTGACACATTTTTGCTAATCCTATTTTATTGGGGTTTTTTTGTTTTGTTTTGTTTTTTGAGAAACCCTCTGTCTCACCCTGGAACTTCTCCTTACTATTGCCATTGCCTTTTGGAATTAGGGGATCTGCAGACTTTCAGTGGAGAATAATCCATGATGTGATGCGGTCAATGTGTTCTACAGCACCCCACAAATACGATAAGTCCTGAAATGAAGCAAGCCAGAAACTCTAAAAAAAAAAAAAGACACAGGGATTAGCCAAGAAGAAAGAGATGGATTTCCCATGAGGCAATTTTCAGTGGTGAAATAATGAGTCATGGAAATAGAGACCTGGCATTTTAAATGATGCACAATGGACACCTCCCTGTTCAATCTGCTTCCCACTTAGGGCTGTCAGCACAAATCAGAACTGAGATGGTTGGCTAAGGGAACAGCCTGGCTTGGTGTCTGACAGGAAGACTGTCAGGGACTTTAGTCGTGCTTTACATTTAGAAAGCCTCCTGTCATCAGACTAATCAGAGAGCCTTTTCCTTGTGACTAATGGGTAGTTTTCTTTAATCTCCAGAAACCTCTGATCAATTAACTGCTATTTAAGCCAATCAAGGAAATTGAGATATGGGGTTTAATTAGCTTTCTGAAGGTTACACACAGTATCAGTCAGCAGAGAATCTGAAAGTGGAACTCAGAGCAGAACTGGTAGATGTGAAAAGAGTGAAAACGAGGTGACATCCAGGTGGTAATAGCAATGTGAGCAGGCACCAGGAGATGAGACATTCTCTGCCCACCATGGGAAAAACAGATGGTCGTTTTCTGTGTCCTTAAGGGGAACCAGCTTCTCCTCTGAACAATTAACTCTTTGTTTGTGCTCGTGTTCTTAAGGCATGTGTCACTGCACATATATTTGTCCCTAGCCCAGTACATGACCTCATCAGCTTCCACTTAACCTCACGGGGACATTGTGAGGAATTAATGGTACAGCAAATGTAAAGATTTGATGCCAAAGGTTTAAAGCAATAACACCCAAGAAGACTTTAACCAGAGCCAGGCACACATGAGGGTCAGTGATTAGCCATTGTTATCATTGTTCTCTGTCCTCAAGTTCTACATGCAAACTCCATGGAATTGCTGAAATCATTTCTATTTTCTCTATTCCTCTTATACTGGCTGACTGTTCAGATATGGCCAGCTCCCTCCTCTTTCAGGTTTTGGTGGCTTTAACACATGGCCAATGAGCAGCCCTGCCCTGTCTCCCCAGTGACCCTCCAAATCATCCATGGTGTGGCATCTCTTCCCTCAGAGTTCTTTCAAGATCCTGACTCAGTTTGTTTGCATATGTACGGGAGGACCACATTTCCTCTATCCACTAGGTCCTTCTGGCTGGGCTACGAATTAAATTCACATGAGACAGAATAACAGGAAAAAATTAAACAAAGCTTTGTAACATATATACATGGGAGAGACTCAGGAAAACTGAGCAACTCACCAAAATGGTGGAGGTTCTCATCTTAAATACTATCTTCAGCTACAAAGGAGGATGTCGGGGGTGGGGGGAGTCACCTATAGGAGATTACTAAAAAAATAAACAAGAGTAAGGTTATTATGCAGATTGAAGTCCTTGCCTTCTGCAGTCATAAGAGCTTTTAGAGATAAATTCATCCGTCTTCTTCCTGGTACAGAGAGGAAGACACCTTTACAGATGGAGATTTCCCTTACAAATGTAAGTGTCTCTTACAAAGGATAACTTCTACTTTTCAGAGTTTCTCTTATGTCTGCAGTTTTTAAAGGTAACCAGCTCAAAGTAATCCTCATGTCAAAGAGACACATCTTGGGGTGGCCAATTCCAATCCCCTAGACATACAGTTTGCTTTTCTGTGACAAGGAATGAATTTCACTCAAAGGGAAGCCTGGCCATTTTTCTTGGCCAGTCTGAACATGTGACACATTTACTTCTCCAGGTGTAGCATTTGCAGAAATCCTGGGGTAGGTTGCTGGTCTTGACGTCTTTGGTTGGTGTAAGAGGTTACTACCGCTGCTGTAACAAACTACTATAAATTTAGTGGTTTATAACAGCACACATTTATTATTTTCCTTCTTCCCTCTCTCCCTTCTCCATTCTCTCTCTCCCTCCCTCCCTGCCATCTTTCCTTTCTTCTCAAGAGATATTACAGAGAAAGGATTATAATTTAGATAGGAGCCAGAGAGCAAACTTATTTATAGAAAACCGTATTATTTTAAAGATTTCATTGCATGCATTATCTCAACAGATTCTTACAAATTCCTGTGGGAGTCTTTATGTTGTTATCCTCATTTGCAGATGAGAAAACTAAAGTTCCAAGACTTGCTAAGGTCATGTATACATTACATGACGTCACATCCCAGATCTTCCAGTTCCCACTCTTTTTTCAGGAGGACACCCCATCTTCCTGGTCCCCATTCCACCCAAGATGTAGTTTTCTTTTGAAATTTCCAGTACATTATCATATCTCTGAAAATATCTGGAATCTCTTTATTTTTGCCTGGTAGATTAACAGGCAAATACACTTTCTTGAAACTATTAGTGGTGGAATTTCCATAAGCAGGGTCATAGGTTGGTACCATTTATTACTGAAGGTGTGCAGTTTGCTTTTCTTCTTTGGCAAAAGTAACTGGAACAAAAGGAAAGTGAATGATCTGGGATCCATGACAGTTCACACTCTAAACCCTGGGAGTCCAACATCCAACCTGCAGGCCAAATGAAAATCGCTTGAACCGGGCATGGGCTCCGCCTGAGATTCTTAGTGCATTAAACATTTTTCCTAATTAGCCAGCCGACAGGAACTCAGAGGCCAGCATGACTTAACCGTCTTTTCACATACCACATCTCGCTGACGCCTCAGACAAGAGGCCATGGATCAATGAGTCATTGTCATTGAAGCTGAATGCTTCGTTTGGAACTGCTCAAATTGACTTTCATTACAATAAAAAGCCTCAAAATAGAAGCTGTAAGAAGGATACTGACAAGAGAGAGGCATGGTGGTGCAAGAGAAAGAGCACAGGTTCTGTGTCAGAAGTGGACAGTGCATGGCTTTGGCCCTGCTCATATTGCCCCTCTGAGGACTTGGCTGCGCGTCATTACTTCTGCCTGCAATTCTTGAGCTTTGTGCCACACAATCCCACTACTCTGATTATAACTGACCATGGTGTGGGGCAGTATTCTAGCCTCAGGTGACCATGAATATGCTTGATATTGTCAATACTAATCACTTAGGAGGTTACTTTGCAACAGACTGCCCAACAGAGGCACTTCCAGTTGGATGGGACAAACTTGTTCACTTACATATTGTTTATTGGAGCATAAGAATGTGAAGGGCACTGAAGAATGCAGTTGAAATTCATTCATACCAGTTCCTCTCTCCTCATATCTCCAGTACCTCCACCTGCTTCTTCACATTCAGCCAATAATCACATTTCTAATTTTACTGAGAAAATGGAAGCACTGGGAAGATCGGAAGAATCTCTTGAATGAACTCCCTCAACTCATATCCAGGTACCATCATTCATACTCATAAACTCTATTTTTACTCCTGCTAATTTCTAGAGATAAATTGTCCTTGCTCCTCTCTATGGCTAAGCCTTCCCCTTGTGTACTAGATGCCATCTCTCTGTGCTTCTTCAAGGACAGCACTGCATTGGTTTTCCCTTTCTTTCTTCTGCATTATCTTTCTCTTTCTATTCTGGAACATTATCAACAACGTAACCACTATTATTTCTGTCATCTTAAAAAAAAATCTCTCTTGATCCCACTTCTTCCTCCAGCTGTCACATTCCTCTCCTCCTCTTTATAGGAAAACTTCTCAAAATTGATACATTTACTTAATAGTTCTAATTTTTCCCCTCCCATTATTTCATTGACATGCTCTAATCACATGTTCATCTCTACGTTTCACCAAAACTCCTCTTAGTAAAGTCACCCATGACTTCCGGGATGCTATATCCTATGGTTCATTCTCATTTGACCTACCAACAGCATTTGGTATAGTTAATCATCCTCTCCTCCTTGAATACTTTCTTCCGTCAGATTCTAAGATATCAGAATTCCTTGGCTTCCCTCCATTCTTCCTTCCTCCCTCCTCAGTCTTTGCTGGTTCTTTCTCTGTTCCTGACATTGGAACACACCAGTACTCAGTCACTGATTCTCTTCTCTCTTCTATGTATACTCGCTCACTTGTTGATTTTAGTCAGTCTAATGGTGTTAAATCCCACTGTGTGCTGCAGACTCCCAATGTTATATCTCGAGGCCAGACCTATTTCCTGAACTTTGAATTCGTATGCCCAGCTGGCTACTGGCCATCTCCATTTGGATATAGAATTAACATCTCAAATCTAACCTGTGCAAAGATAACTCTTGATCTCCCAAAACCCCAACTTGGTATTCTGCAATCTCATCCAGCTCAGACAGTGGAAATTCAATCTTTCCAAGAGCTTAGGCCAAACAAATAATCAAAAAACTCTTAGTGTCATACTTGTCTCCTTTTCTCATGTCACACATTCTATCAGTTCTTCAGGAAATCTTTAGTCCTTTCTTCAAAATAGTATATCCAGTATTTGCCTTGTTCTCACCACTTTCACCATATTACCCAGACCCAGGCCATCATTAGCTCTTGCTTTGGTTGTTGCAATTGTCTCTTAACTGATCTCTCTGCTTCCATCTTTACCATCCTATCATCTGTTCCCAACACAGCAGCCAGAGTGATGTTGTTACAAAATAAGTCTGATCATGTCACGTTTCTGCTTTAGGAACCTTCCTTAGAAAGGTCTATGTGATCTGGCCACTGTTAAGTCCCTGACCTCACCACACCCCAGCCTCTCCTTACTCCTGGCACTGCAGCCACACAGGCCTTCCTCCGCCCCTTGAACATGACAAGCATGCTTTGGTCTCTAGGCCTTTGTTCTCTCCGACTAGAAGATTGACTGGTCCGTTACCTCCTTCAGATCTTTGCTCAAATGTCACCTTCTGAGGTTGAAGATCTCCGTGAACACCCTATGTAAAATCATATACCCTAGCACTTCTCTCTCTTTTTGAATAATTTTTGTCCATAGCAATTATCATCTTCAAGTACATTATATAACTCATTTGTGTATTTTATTTATGTCTACCTTCCCAATCTAGAATATAAGTTCCTTGAGAGCAGGGCTTTTTGCCTGTTGACACATCAACAGTGACTAAAATGATGCCTAGAGCTTAGTGAACACACATTAGAGATTTTTGGAATAAAAGAATGAATAAACAAGTGAATAAAATAGACTCCTTAGAGAATACAAAGAGTACGTTTCATGAGCCCTGTTTTTATTCCTAAACAAAAATAACATCTGGAATTTAGTTATTATAAAGGTGACATCACAATTCACCCAGAGATACATCTGGGTGAAAAAAAATATGAATCGATGTATGTACAAGATTATTTGTTGAAGTATTGTTTGCAAAAAGAAAAATAAATAAGCAATCAAATGTCCATCAATATGATATCAGTTGAATAAACTATGTTATATGTAGACAATGGAACAGTCATCATAAAGTTATAAAAGAGAAATTAGGAAGCTATCTATATACTGATATGGAGAGATCTGCATGATATATTGTTAAGCACAAAAGTGTGAGTTGCAGAATGACATACACACTATGCTAACTTTTGAGTAAGAAAGCTAAGTAATATAAAACATGAAATATTACATATATATGCATGTGGGGTGTGTGTGTATGTAAAATCTTGTATTTGTAAATTAAATGTTGAAAGGATAAGCCAAAAACTAATAAAATATGGGTATCGATAAAGAGAAGGGAGTAAAAATTATCTGCATATATCTTATTATATAGTTTTGGCTTTGGAAATATAAAATGTGTTTTACAGATCCAAAAAACAAAACTAAATAAGAAAGAAAAAAAGTAATTCCTAAAAATTCAAAGCAAGCTAAGACAAATGAAACTATTATCAAGTTGGTAATATAACTACATACAGAAAAAGTAGGATTTCAAGTTATTTTAGGAAACTGTATTTTAATTCTGCATACTTAATGGGATATATTCCAAGGACAAAGAGATTGTCCAAAAAATCTTAGAATACATACATGATCTAATTGTTGGCAGTGATACTGGTATCGTTATGTAAAAAATTTAATACATTGTAAGATAACACATAAGTAATTATCTTAATGTTGTTGGTTACCAAGATTTTCCACATAAAAAAATAAAGGATATGAATCTAAAAATCAAAGATAAGTCAAAAAGGTTCAAATATTACATCTGAACTGGAATATAAGAATAAACTCATGAATTGTTTGTTTGTTAAAAGAAAACTCTTTACAATTCCAAAACCTAGAAGCAATGACATCCCAGTCAACGAGCACACTTACTTTCCAAATTGTGTTCTCTATTACATTTCCTTTTTAATTTTTCTTTCGTTCTTTTTTTTGTTTTGAGGAAGATTAGCCCTGAGCTAACTGCTGTCAATCCTCCTCTTTTTTCTGAGGAAGACTGGCCCTGAGCTAACATCCATGCCCATCCTCCTCTACTTTATATGTGGGGCACCTACCACAGCATGGCTTGCCAAGTGCTGCGTATGTCGACACCTGGGATCCGAACACGCGAACGTGGGCACTTAACTGCTGTGCCACCAGGCCGGCCCCTACATTTCCTTTTTAAAAGTAACCAGTGCTCCTTGGAGAAATGGTTGAGAAACATAACAAGCACTAGATATTTTACTGTGCCGGGAGCTTTCAGAAGGACCAAAAATTCAAGCTGAAAAGAGTTCCCACTGGTGAAAGATGGGGTAATTTAAGCATTAAACAAAAGAATAAATGCAACTGACTGAGACATATTGAGTATTTAAAACGCTTGAGATACACAATTTTTCCCATTCAAAAGAAAGAAAGAAAGAAAGAAATCCTACTCCCTTAATGCCACATTCCCCTGCCCCTTACACCCACCATCCCGCCAAAACTATTGTACACTACTAAAACGTGCATGAAATTAGAGAATTACTATTTAGAAACTATAATAAAATAATTGCTTCAGGATGAAACCATTGGATGAAAGGCTGAGCTGGAACTTTATAAGAAGGAATGAGGAATTAATACTTGAACCCACTGGTCAGGTTCAGCAATGCGGAACTTGATTCATCTCATTATTGTGGGCAATATGAAGCAATATGAAGGGCACAGCACTGTCTGTGAGATGTGCTTGCCAAGGGAAGTTGAATCCTAATCTAATCATAGCCCCAGATCTAACGTACATTTACAAGCAGAAAGGACATAAAGAAACCAGTTAAATACCATCACAATAAGTAAAGAAATGAGTAAAGAATATATGATGATCACATTGCCCACACCAAGATTTTCTTGAAAGTTAAAGGAAGTACTATTAAATTCTTCTTTGCAGGGTGGCGTATAAACTAGAACAGTCCCATGTAAACTGTAAAGTTTATTACTCAGAATATAAATATTCTGAAAGGCAACTGATCTGTTTTTCATAAATTAATAGTATAAGAAAAAAAAAGAGGGGCTTAGTAGATAAATGTAATGACTAGATATTGATTTCTGGTTTTGTGGATGTATTTTGTGGATATGTTTTACAAAAACAGTGTAAAAAGACATTGTGGAGACAAGCAGAGAAATTGGATTATGTATGCCCTGAGTATTTAATCATACCAAAGAATTAGTGATAACTTTATTAGGTGTTATAATGGTATTATAGTTTGTGAGATTATGTTTCCATGTTTGTTAGACATACATACTGAAGAATGTAGGAATGAAATGGAGGCTTGGATTTGCTATACTACCACAATAGGGCAGATTAATAAATTATGGAGAATAATTGACAATTGTTGAATCTGGGTAGTAGATATGCAGATTTACCAAACAGTTCACTCTACTTTTGTGTACATTTAAATATTTCCTGACAAACCTCAAAAAAACAGGTCATGTTAAATCTCCAGTGTTGCTCTTATGTCCTAAAGGATGAAGAACCATTATTCTCTTTGCAATGAACTCAGGAGTGTATTGCACTTTTAGAAGTGATGGGACCTCAAGGGACTATATCCTGGCACTTTGTTGGATCTCCATATGTCCTTTTCATTACTCCTGACACAAGGAATCCAGGACTATAACTCTCTTTCAACCAGCAAAAGTTTAAATGCAATAACTGACTTTGAATTCTAGCCCCATGGATACATGTGAGAACACTGACTCATTTCTTTAAGCTTAGGCTTCCTATAACGTAAAGCGTTAAATGAGTACGGTACAGGGTTTCTGGAAAACTTTGAGGTAATGTGTACGCAACACTCACGAAGGGCTTGGCGTGTATCAGGTGATCCTGCCTTACTTCACTTCCAGCAGAGTCATGACCAACACGTAGATACTTCTGAGTCACACAGGTTATTGAAGAAAGCAACCACATGACAAGTGACTGCCCACTGATTTCAGATCACATGACTTTTATTGAAAATATATGTATCTACCCTGCTTTTGGCAATGTATCCTCAAGTCCAGTAAAGGTCATTTTGGGAACAAACTTGGCTCCTGTCAAATTAAAAGGAATTACAACCTCTAAAAATATCAATGCTGTTTTTGGAATCGATTTAAAAAAAAACACACACACACACACACATACACACATCGAGGGTCCCAACACTGCCGTATAGCAGACTAAAATTATTAACAGCATAAACAATATCCCATGGACTTTTTCTAATGCTATAGATATTATTCTTTCTTAATCAAACTGAAATTTAAAATAAGAGACAAATAAAAAGAACCCAGAAAGGGCACATATTTCATTTCTATTAAAGTTTAAAATAGGCCCTTTGAGGAAAGTATCAACTCAATTTCTCCTAATTAATCAGAGGGTCGAGTTGTGCTTACCTGATGGTATTCCTCCTCTTTTACCTGAGCACCAAAAGTTGTTGCTTATCACCTTGGCATCACCAAGATAGGTGTTTGTCTCAGACGTGGCTCTGAAAGACGCTATTTCTGGGATACTGCATTATTTCTGTAGCTGTTGTTATCGCTGAGACTCAAGCGGTCCCCATTTCCTAAGAAACTTCCCCGAGACAGGAATTGGGGTGAGGAGCATGTTTACATGCACTGGGTTTGCCCATCCCTCCACGTGCCCCATTATAAACTAGGGGTTACCTGCTCCCTCTTCAAGGAGAAACACTGGGCTCTTCCTACTTCTCTGGTAAGAACTGGGCTTGTGTATTCCTCATCCTTTGTTAAATGACTGTGTTCTAACAGCATTTTTTCAGAATGAACTTCAAACTCAAGCACGTAAGGATTTTGATCATCTTTCTTTCAGGTCCTCTAGCCTCATCTTCAGCAACTCTTCTAGAGACAATTCTCACTCCAGCTTTATGAAATTGTGAGCTCAGAGCCTCTTCAGAGGTTTCCTTTTTCCTCTCCTCTCCTATTTGCCCAAGTAATTTTTACTTATCCTGAGGTATACGTGTCAAAAATCCCTCCTTCCAGGAAGCCTTCTGTGTTTATTTTCTGTGACTGCTGTAATAAATACCACAAACTCGGTGACTTAAAACAACACACTTACTCTCTTACAGTTCTGGAGGCCGGAAGTCTGACATCAGTGTCACAGAGCCCAAGTCCAAGTGTCAGCAGGACTGCACTTCCTCTGGAGCTCTAGAGGAGAATCAGCTCCTCGTCTCTTCCAGCTTCTGGTGGCTGTCAGCACTCCTTAGCCTGTGACTGCATCACTTCAATCTTTAAGGCTAGCTTCTTCAAATGTCTCTCAGTCCTGTCTTCACATTGCCTTCTCTTCTGGGTGTCTCCGTGTCAGATCTCCCTTTACCTCTCTCTTATAAGGACACCTGTGATTATGTTTAGGGCATACCTGGATAATACAGAATAATCTCAGCGTCTCTAAAGATCCTACGTTAATTCCATCTGCAAAACTTTTTTCCAAATAAAGTAAGATTTACAGGTTCCAGAGATTAGGACTGTCTTGCGGGGACATTATTCAGCCTGCTATATCTTCCTTGTTCTTCCCCTTCAACTCTGGTTCTGCTTTCCAGGCTGGATTATGAGTCTCTTATCTGAATATTGATTTAAAACCTTGTATTTAACTTTATCATGGTACATAGAATGAGGATGATGATGTTGATGTTGATGATAGCTAAGATACATCAATTGCTTACAGTATACTGGGCACTGCTCTAAAAATTGCACAGGTATATCAGTTAACTCATATAACAATTTTAAGATGTGGCTGTAATATTCATCCCAATTTTCAGATCTTAGAACTAAGGTACCACAACTAGTAAGTGGACTTGCTGAGATTTGAACCCAGGCAGACTGATACAGGGCCCCTCTAGTGCTGCACCATGGGTATTGATCCACCTGCTGTCTCCCCAGGAAGGTCCCGGAAGCTGGTCAGTATCCCCAGCTTTAGCACACAGCTGACACTCAACGATGTTTGGGAAATAAATTCACGGACAGATTCTAAAATGCCTCTGCCTTTAATCAGATATGGGGCCTCAAACACATGTGCAAACCTTTCTGGACCTCATCTATTTAACTAGGATGTCAGACTTTGGATGATTGTTGTGATCCCTAATGTTTTATGAACAGGTCACCTCAGAAGTCCATTTAAGGTCTAAACTCTGCCTACTCGATTATGGTGACTGATTCACTGTGCCCATATTGTTGAGAATAGTGAGCACACAATCCAGGGCACCATTAATGATTTATCACACTGGGGCAATTAACTTTTGAAGTAGAAGTCATTACAGAAGGCCCATGTCCCAAAAGCTTTGGAAGAATGCCAAAAGTATTGATGACGTGTTTGCTCAAGACGGGCAAGTCACTTTTACTGCTGGAGGGAAAGATTTTAGGCTTTTTGGATTCTCTTGAAGGACAGCATATTATTCATTTATTGCCTGTCATTCCTGCAGCCTAATGACACAGAATCATTCCAACTAGGTGACCTACCCATATAATAAGTGAATACTAATATCTCAATGGTTGGGTTTGAGGACCAAGGTCACATACTTGTATATCACTCTGCCAGTAGGTTAATGAAATGTGAATCAAATAAATTTAGAAATTAACCTCAGAAGTAAAAGTTGCATCCATGCAAACACATTCTGTGCCTTCTACACAAGTCATTTCATAAAGCATTTCTCAAATACTGGGATGTGAACCTTCTAGAAACTCATGAATAGTAATTGATAATAAAGGGAAATGTTGAAAAACTTATCAATGGCATTGTCTGTTGTTGACTTAGTCTCTGAGAGCCCTAAGAAACCCCCTTCAGTCAGGATAATAATCATGGATGCATGAGCCAAGTCAAAGACCTTAGGCTAAACTCAGAACGGAGTTGCAGGTGAGTAACTTGCATTATCATTAATGTGTATTATGGTTATATCCTCAGTGACATGTGGCTAGGAGAAGTGTTCTTTTAGTGGCAAAACTGTCTTATGAAGTTGCTGTCATTTTGGCTTGGGTTCCTGTAAGAGGTGGTGACCGCACACTGCTCAGAAGCTGCTTACTGTCGTGGAAACAGCACAGGCTGTGGAACCAGACAACTCTGTCAAATGCCACACTCTGCCGGTTAGTAGTGTGGTCATGAGCAAACTGCCTGACCTCTCTTCCTGCAAAATAAGGGAAATAAGGCTAGTTTAGTGGAGACAGAGGTGGGGAGATGAGATAATGACCCGCGGGGAGAGTCCATATGACCATCATTCTCAAAGTTTCTGTAATCAGTTCCTGAGGGAGAAATGGTTTGAGAAAATCCCCTTCCCATACCCAAAGAAAAAGTCACTCTCTTTATTGCCTATTTAGGCTTTGGCTCTAAATCTGTATCTGGATTTTTAAATTTTATTTCTATTATTTTATTTTATTTTTTATTTATTTATTTTGAGGAAGATTAGCCCTGAGCTAACATCTGCTGCCAATCCTCCTCTTTTTGCTGAGGAAGACTGGCCCGGAGCTAATATCCGTGCCCATCTTCCTCTACTTTATATGTGGGACGCCTGCCACAGCATGGCTTGCCAAGTGCTGCGTATGTCGACACCTGGGATCCGAACACGCGAACCCCGGGCTGCCAAAGTGGACCATGCGCACTTAACCACTGCGCCACCGGGCCGGATCCTATATCTGGATTTTTTTAATCTTATTTTCTGTTGCATCTTTGTTGAGATCTAAATCACATACCATAAAGTTCTCCTTTTTAAAGTGTACAATTAAGTGATTTTAATATATTCATAAAGCTGAACATTAATCATCACTAATTCCATAGTATTTTCATCATCCTCCAAAAGAAACCCGACACCCATTAGCAGCCAAGCCCTATGCCTCCCTCCCCTCATTCCTGGGTAACCACTAATCTACTTTCTATCTGTACAGACTTGCCTTACTGGACATTGCATATAAATGGAGTTATACAATAAGCAGCCTTTTGTATCTGATGTCTTTTATTCTCATAATGTTTTCAAGGTTCATCTAATTTATACCACGTGTTAAAACTTCATTCATTTTTGTGGCCAAATAATATTCTAATGTGTGACTACACCACTTTAATTTATCCATTCACCACTTGATGGACTTTTGGATTATTTCTACTGCTTGACTATGTAAATAATGCTTCTATGAATATTCCTGTACACCTTTTTGTTTTTACAGACATATATTTTCAGTTATCTTGGATATACCTAGGAGTGAAATTGCTGGGCCATAGGGTGTGGTAAAAGGAATAATACCCCCATGAAGTTGTCCATATCTTAATTCTTTGAACCTGTGAATAAGTTATGTGTTGTGGCAAAGGGAAATTAAGTTTGCAGATGGAATTAAGGTTGCTAACCAGCTGACTTTAAGAAAAGGAGATTATCCTGGATTAAGGTGGTGGGCCCACTGTAATTGCAGGAGTTCTCAAAAGTGAGAGATGGAGGCAGCGTGAGCGTGTCTGAGGGAGATTTGACTATGGGCGAATAGTCAAGGAGATGCGGAGCTGCTGCATTTGAAGTTGGAGGAGGGGAGCACAAGCCAAACAATGTAGGCAGCCTCTAGAAACAGGAAAAGGCAAGGAAATGGATTCTTGCTTAGAGCCTCTGGATGGAATACAGCCCTGCCCACACCTTGATTTTAGCCCAGGGAGACTGACATCAGACTTTAACCTCCAGAACAGTAAGATAATAGATGTGTGTTGTTTTAAGCCACTAAGTCTTAAGTGTTTTGGTCAACCTCTTGTTAACACCAACTAGTAATGTCACTGGTGCAGCTGTGATATCAAATGCTTATGGCTAATTGTTTTTTCCAAATACCTTGTGGGTAGGGCTCTTAGCACAGAGCTAGCTTTGGTCAGGCCAAGCAAAGGCGAGCTCTGAGAACGGAACTATTCAGCGAGCTTTCAGACAGTTGAACAGTGATACTTCCCCAGGGAAGGGCTTTTGGGGCAGTCCAACCTGTTCTTCCCCGTCCAGTGTCTCGTAGGCTGCTGGTTGTCACAGCTGCTATAGTTGCGAAGCTCTTGGCTTTCAAGAGCTGGGGAGAGGATGATCGTATTAGGGCAATTTAAAATGCCAGAGGCTCTCTGTTCTTACTAGATTCAGCCATTTTTCTTGAATAAACACTCCTTTGATTGTCAAAAGCTCATGTTCTGAAAGTGTAGATTTTAGCGATTTTTGCCAGCATTCTCATTGCTTTTTAGAGGAGGGATTTTCAGAGGCCCTTCCCCTACCATCTGGAAGTTGAGCCCATCTTTTGCTGAATTTCTACCCTGGAGAGCTGGCAGATCAAGGCTGGGACTCAAGCCCAGCCCCTTCACGCTTATATTTTTCTCAAGGTGGATCTGAGCAGCCTACCTCCGAGCTCTGTTTCCAGGAGTCCCACCCAGGTCTCATTTACTGCTCTGGATCTCATTGTTGCCACGCTGCTTCCTTCCCCAGAGGCTACAGCATAAATGGCATAGCTGCCTGCTGTAAAGCACCTTCCCTGGCCACAGCTGGGTCTCGCTGGTCTCTGAGGATGATGAAGCTTTGGGAGGGTGGGTGCATTAGCTCTTTTGGAAGGAGTCCTTACAAATCTCGTCTTGACACTGCCTTGGGGTCTAAGATTTTCCAGGAAGCCTTTTTCTGCCAGCTCCCACGCTGTTCTGTTAAGCAGCCGTACCTGACCTATGCTCTTCGAGCCAGAAAAACTGGCTCTAGTCCTGGATTTGATATCCACTGTTTTTTTGATGTTAGACACGTTATCGCATTTATCAGAAACTAATTATCAAGTGGTGATAAACTAACTACATCACAAGACTCTTTGGGTATTACATACGATAATTTATTGGAAAGTACCTTCTGTAGTCTCCATCTTATTTAACCAAACAGTTTTAGACTCTAGGAATTGACACACGTCAATATTCATTTTTCTAGAGCTATTTTTCTTCAACTGTTGTTCTTGAGTTTTCTCTAAAGATTATTACCAGTTTTGTTAAAAAAGTATTTTTGTGATAAGGTTGAAGATAATTTTTCAAAATTAATCTCAGTCTGTTCTAGATTATTTGGAGGACTACTTTATAACCGCACACCCCAAGCAATTTTCTTCCTCATCTGTGGGTGGTTTTTATTGTATCGTCATCAACTAGTGTTACCTTTATTGTGGGGGAAAAAAACGGAGTAGAACTTAATATGGAAATGATGTGTTTATTTCAAATAAGAATTAAACGACACCACAACTCACAATAATAAGTTGAATAGAGGCAAATGTTAAAAGAATTAAATTATTAAATCACACCAAAATGATAAAGACAGAACACACACATACACACACACACACACACACACACTTCGCCAAAGCAGCCATCACTATACTTGCTTTTAATAGCACTTTTAGTTTCAGCAAAATGATATCAACTGACATGTGAATCTGATGTTGATCATTTGGAGTATAATGCTTTTATAGTTTTGTTTGTGATTAGCTTGTAAATATTTTTAGATTTTATACTAGTATAAGAGCTGTAAGCATAAGGTGATTATATGTATGCATATTTAAGTTATAGCATCATGAAATTATCCAGCCAACACTAGGGGGTCCATGGGAAAGTTTTTCTTGCAGATGGAATCTGTACATTGCTCAATTGCTCTGGCTTACGGAAACCAGGGAAAGCTCTCAGGGAGCCCTCAGAAAGAGTTTATAGGCCAGCTGAAGGCATCTCTTTAGGCCACAATGATAAAATGAAGAGATAAAGGAGACTTTCTCACCATGAAGGATAGAAAGCCTCACTTTACCAAAAGACTCAAACTTTGGGGGCAGAAACTAATTAAAAATAAGGAAGAGAAGGTGGTTGACTGGGAAAGAAATAAGTAAAATAAGATAATATTTTGGGAGCCCACTTTCAGAAGTGTGGACCTGGGAGAAGGAAGGCCTAATTTAAAATTCTATTTCTACCCCATATCACTCAATATATCCCTTGGGCTGCATATGGGATACTTAATATTCCTGAGCCTCAGTTTTTTCAATTTTAAATGCCTCTTTCACAAATTTGTTATGTAGGTTAAATAAAATTATAAGAGTGAAAGTGCTTTGTGAACCACAAAGTCCTGTGTGTATGCTAGGGATGCTCCTGCATTCATTTTGTTAGATGTTCATAAAGGGTCCCTGGAAATTTTTCTAATTCTTTACAATTGAATATCTCAGCAAGAAGATAAAACACCCTACAAAGTTCCAGGTCTGTAAAATAAGCAATTCTTCTATCTAATCTAGACTGAGAGCAGAGCAAATGCAGAGTTGACGTATTCTACAAAACCTTAGGGAGATGAGTTTAGGCCAGATCTCTAACTGATAGGGGATTTTGATTTTTTTCAATAGGTTTTTTTTGTTGCTGTTAATCATAAAGTTCCTCTTATAGATTAAAAAAAATCACATTACTCATATTTGTGCACACACATGTTCGTACACGCGTCCACCCACAGAAACAACCGGGTCCATCCATGTATTCACATTTCCGCAGAGATCCATGCAATCCTGTGCTCACACGTGTACCGGCTACCTGCACACACATGCTTGGCTTGCTCTTGAATGCACTCAATTCTCATTGGCCATAGTGATCCAGAGTCTCTCCTGAGTCAGTTTCCAGCCTGCTTTACCAGTGAGAGGCAAAAATGTCCTGATTTCCCCGTCTCACAGCATTTATCTCAACCAGGGATGCCCTAGCATCCTATTCTTTAGATCATCCTTAGAAAGCATTTTGGAAGCCACAAAAGTAGGTTTCAAAGTCAGTCATGTTTAGATTTGAATTATGACCTTGGGCAAGTGACTTGCTCTTTCTGAGCCTCAGTTTCCTAGATTGTAAAATGGAGATAGTGAAGACTCCTCATAGGCATGAGAGCATTAAGTGTAGTGATGTATGAGTTTCCTCTAAGCCTTTTAGTTCTATTTGAAAGCGATGTTTTGGGAATGGTACATATATGTGGATAGCAAGAGTCATAGAAATCTTAAAGTCAGGGATAGATCCTCACGGAGACCAGTGCAGGAAGAGTCCTCCTCCAAAATGGCCCAGGACCCTCAGCCAGAGAAACTCATGGATCTTCTCAATGCTCATTGGCTCCCCTTCCTGAACATCTTCTCAGTTCTCATCTCTCTAGCATGAAACTTCCTTTGCTTGCCCCAATTTACTACTTTCTCCTGATTTCCTATGGCCTCACTGGACATGGCTTTACCTAAAGTCATCCTCTCAGCTTCTGACCCCATTATAATGGCCACCATCTCTGCGTGTTGCCAAATTCAGCATTTGTTACAGAGGAATTTGTTGTCAAGACTCATCTTTTTCACACTGGGTCATATGAATTTACCTTTGAAGTCCCAAAAATCTAGCTGATAAAAATCTAGCTCCAACATTTATTAACTCTGTGACCTTAAGAAAGTTGCTAAACTCTCAGAATCTCAATTTTCTCATAGTCATATAGGGATAAGTATGGTTCTCACCCTCATCGGATTGTTGTGAGGAGTAAATCAGATGATGTTTGGCAAGTGCTTAGTCTAGTACATGGTATATATTGAGCCATAACGAAATGCTAACTACTATGAGTGTCAGTTCTGGCCATAGACCAGAGTTCAACCTAAGAATGGGTTGTCTTTTTGTTAAGTGCTCACCCTTGGCCCATCAGGCACAGCCACTGGACAGCAGAGGCTATGGGTTGTCCCCTTAGATAACAGTGTCAGCAGGCCGAGCTTTCTGTAACTACATCTACTCAAGAGATTACGGGATACGTTTTCCTTTAATTCTACATAAAGTTAAACGATAATGCAATAAAATCAATATATGCATGTATGACTGTCAAATAGTTTTGGAAAAATCCATTAATATTCAAAAACTAAAAACTTCTTTTTGCCTTGCATATTCACTGCCAACAGAAAATAAAAGAGCCGTCTGAGAAATACTAAGAAGAAGACATTCACAGAGTGTTCTGGATCTTTTATCCAAACCTGGGGACTGAGTGGGAGAGAGTGGAGCTTCGTAGAGGTGAACACATGGGCTTTGAAGAGTGAGTGAAAGTTAGCTGATTAACACACTTGACAATGGGGACAGCGGTAGTTTCCAGGGAGAAGATGGTGTGTTCCAACGTGCCCAAACTGTTGGCAGATATACACCTACATGTTCAAGATGGGAATCCCCATCCCACACCCAGTTTTCCTTGAAAAAGCAAATGACAACCTAATGATTTTAGTTTCTTAACATATACATTTCTCCTCACAAGGTATTTTAGGTTCAGAATCAGAGAAATCTGGATATTGTTACCAGTTACTACTTTGAAGAATTTACTAAATACTTGCCCACTCATGAGTTGAACCAATAATTGCACATTATTCTATAGATTCTACAAAAAGAAGCTTCCAGAAAAATTCTTGATCTATGATGCAGTCATCACATGAACCCAGGCTGCTTCCAAATTACCCTGAAATATTTCTGGGGTTGTCACTGGAGGGTCAAACAAAGGCTCAGAAAACATCTACTTCCACGGTGTTCTTCTCATTCTTCCAGGCACGGAGGTCTTATCTGGGACTGCTCTGAACCTGAGGGTTGCCAGTGCTGTGTAGTCAGCGGCAGGTGGAGGAACGCCTCCCTGAGCTGGGGTTTACAGTTTAACAAGTGGCCCAGAGCACTTGTGCTCAGCTCTTAATGTGAACTTATCAGACAAGTATGCTTTTATTCTTTGGAAAAGCAAAAATGGAGAGATACAGAAGCAAAAAGAGAATAATTTAACAACCATCTGTGTACCTGCCATTTGTAATTAACAGGTATTAACATTTTATGAGATTTGCCTCACACATTGTTAATAAAATATGACTGTGAAGTTGAAGTTCACTGATTAGTCCCGTTCCATATCAGCCCTTCCTTCCCAAGAGACAGCGATTAGGATGAATTTGATGTGTAATTTACCAGTCAAATGTTTATGCGTTGAACCCATAAACCATATGCTGAAGTTTTGAAAATTTTATACCAATATTATCATACAATGGTTTTCTTTCTTTAATTAGCTTTGATTTCATTCAACAAAATGTTTGTTGAAGGTCTGTGTTGGTGCATATAAACCTAGTTCGTTTCTTTTAATTACTGAATTCTTTTCCACTGATGGATGTTTAAGTTGGAGTTTTAGAGTTTACCTACATCTGTCTTTCAAGGATCCAGGAATCACATACTTTTCAGGGACCTGCATAGATTCAGATTAAGGGATAGATAGCAAACATGTGGTACTGAGACATCCACAGATCTCTCGGGATGAAGGTTGGTTTGTTGGGTTTTTTTTTTCAATTTTTCCCTTTTGAGTCAAATTTACCATTCCACACACTTTTATCTTAGGCTGAATATTCATTTTACTCATAGTGTTGTATACTGACTTTTAGAAGGCCGTGGAACAAGTCTTTGATTTTTCTGTATATTTCTGAACCCCAGGAAACATCATAGAAGTAGAATTCCATGGTCTGTTCCTTCAATCTACCAAATATTTTCTTTTTCTTTTTTTGCTGAGGAAGATTCTCCTTGAGCTAACCTCTGTTGCCAATCTTCCTCTTTTTTCTGTATGTGATAAGATACAAAGATAGATAAGGCCACAGTATGGCCACTGACAGACAAGTGGTATAAGTCTGCACCTGAGAACCAAACCTGGGCCTCTGAAGTGGAGCACACCAAACTTAACCACTAGGCCATCAGGGCTGGCTCCCAAACTCAGCAGCAGAGGGGAGCAGAATACCCAAATTCACTAATACTGCTTCCGAATTGCCACTTTTCTTCATAATCCATTTAATTGTTCTCTGTCCCCTACAGGAATCTCCATGTACAAAATTGTTTTTACCAAAGGCTCAATATCTCTTTTCTTTATAGAAATGAGAACCATAACAACTGATCATGTGATATTTTTGCCCTGGCTACCAGGAAGATCAGAACCAAATTTGCTGCTCAATCACTGTGGCAGAATTGCAGCCTTTCCCTTAGTGCTGAAGGTTTACTTCAGCTTCGTTTGGCTCTTTCACAATCTATTCCAGACTGACTCAACTAGTTGTAACAGGAGGCCACAATTTATGTGACCCTATAATTATTGTGTAAATTGGACACTTTTAAAAATGAAAGGTGAAAACAAAAGTAGGTAATACTATATACTTCTTTGAAACATCATGCTTCATATAGAGTGATATGTAAGACCCTTCTCTACCTCATGAGACAAATAGTCTTCTTCAGGCATGGTCTTATTTAAATGACTTCTAACTCTTGAGGAAGATGCTGATGCTTTTTTTGTGGGTTTGGGTCTTTGGGCTGCGACATCACCGTGGGCTCTTTCTGACTCATAGTAAGCACTGTGTATGATTTTGCCACAGTTTTTCCTGTCCTAGGAAATAGTTTTGCTCCATTAATGGATTGAAAGGAACAAACAAGCGAAATATCATCATTGTCATTATCAACAATAACTGTAACAAGCACCTTTAGTGATATTTTCAAAGCTGGTCTTAGAAGACGAAGACCTCTCATCATTCATTCCAGGCTTCAGATGTCAGACACGAGGCAAAGTACTTTGCTGATATATCTTATCATATATTTCACTCTTCAAGCCAGTCTCTGATATAGATATTTTTTCCTGGCTTTACAGAGGAGAAAGGTTGGGCTCAGGAAGCAAGAGTTACTTTCCCAGGATCACACAGCATGTACATGGCTAAACGGGAATTGATAGCCCGCTCATGTTCCTCCAGGACCAGGGCCTGTAATCAGTAAGTTCTCTTATGTCAGCAGGTAAGCAGTATTTTTCATTTTTAAATCAATGGTGTTTCTTAGCTGCATAGCTACTGATTTGGTCACAGAGTTGGAGAGGGCATTGCATTGTTTTCAGCAATTATTAACTTAGGAACTATAACTTGAAATGAGGCTTGTTCAGGTCAGAGACATGATTAGTAACAGAATGCTAGCCCTTATCTACCAGTGATTGTGAATCCTGCTTGGGTACAAGGTCCTCTGCTCTATCGGGCCTTGAAGGGAAGAATGCTTGGCTGTACGTGGCAAAGACTCTCACATGGCAGGGGGAGGAAAGGTGACTTTTTGTCCTCTGGGAGAAAGCTTGTCTCAGCACAGCTGAGGCTGTTGGGTTCTTCAGAGGCCATGGCCATCAAGGGCATAGCTCCTTCCAGTCAGCAGTCAGGTTTCTAGACAGCTAGAGCATAGAGTCTGATCAAATCCATCTCCCTCTTACTCCCTTCTGCCTGCTTGACCTTTCCCTCCTTGTGTTTTTTCCATCTCTATCTTCCAGGATCACGTGAAGTTGCTAAAATGGCTTCTACTGCACGTGGCACAAGCTGAGTCCTCCCCAGGGTCAAGCAGTCCCTCACTCAAGACAAGCTGTGCAAGCCCCTTACGTCCCCTTGGTGCTTTTTCAACATATCAGCTGCACAAGCTGAGTTCTGCCCCTGTCTGTAATTCCCAAAAGAATTAAAAAGATAAATCTCAGTGTTTCTCAGCCTCTGTTCTGAACTCTCCTGCATGTCCCTGTCCTGCTACCTTTGCTCTGATTATCTCCTTGGTACACATTTCTCCATAGTCTCTTAATGTCTGCTACTCAAATTTTGCTCTTAGTTGTTACATTTGCCTCTGTCTCCCTCTGTCCTGGCTTTGGCTTGCTGCTTCTGGAGAAGATTTACTTGAATAGAGGTACTGGCAACATCCCCTCCATTTGGCAAGCTCAGAGCTGACCCCTTTTAGGATTTTGTTCTGGGAGGCATCTCTCTCATGCATGTTTCCTAGGACGGTTCTAGATAATCTTTTCTTAGTGATAATAAGAGAGAATTGTCACCGTGGATAAAAACAGAACCTCCCTAACTCAATTTAATATCAACAAGAATTTAAGAATACAGAAATCATTCATAGATCTGAACAAATAGCAAAACATATAGCCAACAGGTTATCTGGATGGCAAAGAATCTTCTAGAGTAACTCCTGACTTGCTCTAACCAAAAATTCATATGGATATAGCAAAATAATTGAGGCAAAGGCAGGCTTAGTGACAACTAACAAAATCTTTCTCACTGTACAACAATTATGCTTTTTATTTTTCCCTCAAAAGACAGCGTTGTTTTTACAAAGGATCCGTTCAGAGTTATATTTCATTTGGCCGTCTTAAAGGTAAAAATGGTTATGGACAAATATGCATATTTTATGACAATTGTTTTTTCTCCAGAGAAATGGCTCCTTTGATGTCCAGGGAGAATGGAGTTAAATGTTGCTTTGAACTAGTTTCTTTGTTCTGCAGGCTATTGTGCTAGTTATACCGCACACATGAAATTCTGGAGGGAACATATCCTAATGCATAAGAGCCTGGGTGCTGGAATTAGCTGCCTGGATTTGAATTCTGGTTTTGCAGTTTTCCAGCTGCATGGCGTTTGCTAAGTTACTTCAGCAATGTTATCTTCATCATCACCCTTTGTCAAATAATAGGAACCACCTTGGAGGATTTTGCGAGGATACAACGCAATTCTTCAGGTCGAGAGCTCAGAATAATATTGCAAAACAGTCAGTACTCAATCTCTTATAGTCATTTTTAGTTTGTAAGAAGCCTAACAACTTTTACGAGGTGTAAGGAAGACCACAGGCTCTGTAGTCACACAGTCTTCTGCCATTACCTACGTGTGTGATTTCTGTCGAGTCTCTTCTTGGAGTCTCAGTTGCTTCATCTATAAAACGGTGATAATTGTACATATTTCGCAAAGGCTCTTAATTGAGATAATACATGTGAAGCTTTAGGCACAAAATAGATGTGTAGTAAATGTTAGTTCCTTTTCACTTTCCCCATTACTGGAAAACCAGTAGAATAAATAGAAGAGGGAGGAAATGGGGGCATTAATAAGGAAATGGCTTTATAGTAAGCTATGCACATGATGGATTAGTTAAGGAGTGGCTTGGAACCAACTTGCCAGGTAGGAGTTCCAACTTTGACCTTGGTCTTCCTTTCCTGCTGTACCTCTGGGTGTCTCTATGCTGGGCACTCTCCTGGGAGTGAGATGGGGAATTACAACCAGTGAGTCTTTTTCCATAACCTGCAGGACCCTCAGAAATCTGCCTAAACAACCCCCAAGGATTCGGTGCAAGGAGTATCTCTGCATGTGTGTCTGTTGTTTGTTTCTTTGTGTCTATGTCCCCATGAGATGGTGCCCAGCATTGATGTTGCAATCTCGGCCTCTGTAATCAGACAGATCTGGGTTGAAATTTCCCCTGGAACACCTTGATATGTGTGACCTAGAGGAAGTTACTTAACTGCAACTGAAAAATAGAGATGATAGTAGTATCTTTCACACAGGGTTGAGATGAGGATTAATTGAGGAGAAAGACCGAAAATCATAACGGTTGGCATGCACAAGTGCTGGGTCAAAGATGACTGCTCAGATTACCACAGTCATTATTAATCTCTCTATAGATGGGCAGACAGATATAGGTCTGCGGCTGTGGTGTACACGTGGTTGAGTGGGTGCCTACCTCCCTTTTTCTAAGAGAACAGGAAGAAGATCTGCAGACCCTTCTCTCCATATCTCCTGTGAAGGCATCGGAAAGCTCTTCCCACACTGAGAAATTGCATCTATGGATCTCCATTTTCTTGTCTGCAGAATAGAATGATAAGATTTATCTGTGAAACTTATTCATGGATGAATATGACTGTGCCTTTGTAGAACGAAAGACAGTGACCAGCATTCATTTCAAGCATTCAACAAATATGAACTATGCTCCTACTGTATGCCTGGCACTGTGTAGGCTCTGTGGGATGACAGCAGAGAAGAGGTCCCCTGCTCTCTTGGAACTTGGAATTGCTGGAATGTAATAATGTGTCTAGAGAACATGAAAATTTTCCCTTCTTCTTTCATCACTTTGTATGGGAATGCTTTAAAATTTTTGGTAGCTTTGGCCTCTTAATGTCTGTACTCTGCCCACAGGTGAATTTCAAGCTCAGTGTGCCCTAGGCAAGTCAGTTATTTTAAAATCAGGCAGTTGACAGAGGTGGTTTCAAGCCTGAGGAAGTCCTGGGGTGGAAAGGAGCACAGGGAGCATTACAAGGAGGGTTCTTTTGTGGGAACATTTGGGGAGCTGCCAAGTTTCTAATAAGAAATGAATTTGCCTTTATTCAAAGAAGGAAATGGTTCTTTCCCTCACAAAAGAGGAAGGAAAGGCTGTCCTTCTGGCTGTGGTTACCAGCACTGCCTTTCTGACTGGAGGGTCATTAGGGTGAGGAACAAACGTGAAAATGCAGGCCAAGCCTTTAAGAACCTCCTAGATAAGTGATCATGAAAGGTAAAAAAGTGTATGTTACTAGAAGGAAAGAACCAGAACACAAAAAAGGGCATTGCAGCATAGCATTGCACATGAAATGTGCAGTATGGGTCGGTAAGTTAAAGAGAAGGGCTGGACAAGTACTACTTATACTTAAATCCTGGATATGGCAGAGATGGCTGGAGTTCCGCACCTCTCTCTGCCCCTCTGTATTTCCCAGAGTTCCCTGCAGTTAGGTTGGGGCTCATGTGACTGGGTTCTGGCCAATGGGGTGTGGATGGAAGTGACTAATTTGATTCCTTGAGCACCTCCTTAGGTGCCAGCTCTCAGTCTCAGCCTTGGGGACTCAGTAGGAAACACAACTAACAACTCATGGTGCTTATATATTCTGAGATGGTGGGACAGACAGTGAACATGATGAATAAGTAAAATGTATAGTAAACTATATGAATAAGTATAATATATAACCATGCATTCATATATAATTTATACATAATGTATTAAATATATGTATGAAATACAAATGTTTATATATAATTTCCTAAATATAAGCAAAACAATATTTATATGTATGGGTGTGTGTGTACATATATATATATATATTACAAAATATAAAGATAGTGATAACTGGTAGGCCAAAAAAGTAAATTCATTATGGAGAATCAGTTTATAAGTACAATTTTTAAGAGAGTGTCCAGGGAGGCATCACAGAGAAAGAGAAATCTGAGTAAAGAGGGGAAGCAGGAGGAGTACTAGCCATGCACTTATCTGAGAAAAGAATACTCCATGGTTTTCATCACATGCAGGGAGGCGGGTGGCTAGAGTGGAGGGAGGGAACATAACAGAGGAAGAGATCAGAGAGGGAAAGAAGTTTGAGTAATCTGTGGCCTCAAAGGTCGCTGTAAGTTTATTGGTTTATAGTTGAAGGGAAATGGGGAAGCCAGTGCTTGAGGAGTGAGATGTGACACATTGCAAAAGAATCACTCAGGTTGCTGTTTTGATAATACACTGAAAGGGACTTGGGGGACAGAGGCAGGGACAGAAATAGGAAGACCAGTGCAGGGGCTTTTCCAATATTTCAGTTAATAGATCAGGCTGGCATGGACCAGGAATGGAGGTGGGAGACATGATCAAATCTGGATGTATTTTGAAGATAAAGCCAACATGATTTGCTGATGAGCAACATGTGGAGAGTGAGAGCAAGAGAGGAGTCAAGGGTGACTCCAAAGGTTTTGCCTGAGCAGCTGAAAGAATGGGGTTGTCATTCCCTAGATGGGAAAGGCTACAGGAGGAGTGTGTTTGGGGGATATCAAGAGCTCAAGTGCGACATGTCCACAGGATGTCCCAAGTTTAGGGTAGAGTTCCAGGTGGAAGATGCACAGTTAGAAAGTCATCAGCTATAGAAGTCACCAAGTAATTCAGAAAGTGCTTAAAGCCACAGGACTGACTGGGATCACTTTTCTTAGCTCTCTTCATACAAAGTGGTTGAATCACAGGGTCAGGGGCAGAAAGAGAATGAGTCGGCCTGAAGGATGGGAATTTATGAATGGAGAATGGCCTCCGAGGCAGCCCACCTCCTGAGGGAAATTTTCTGGACTTCCTGGCAGAACCCAGACAGCATTAAAACAGACAAACAAAAAAATTACTTTAGGGGAATTTTACTAAGTAAAAAAAAGTATGATCAATTATTTACTAAATTATTTGGTAACCACAGGTGGAAGGTACACGTTACAGCCTTGATATTGGCATGCATAACAACAGGCATGAGTTTCTGATGACTCATCCACTTATCCCAATCATAGGTCATCTGGGAACTCTGGGGACATTCTAATGCCAGTCTTAGTTCTGAGGCAATTTCCATAAAGTAAAACAGGATTCCTTCTCCATTAAAAGCTGAATAACACTTGACATGTTAACATAGAACTCACATAATCCACTGCTTGCATAGGCCAGGAAGAAAATGTAAATAAATTTAAATGGCTAGGTGTGTAGACAGGAGTGGTAGAGTTTGTGACAAATTAGGATTCAGCAACTGTTACCATGCAGGAATGGAGACTCAGTTTTCTGCAAATTTATTTATTTATTTATTTAAAGATTGGCACCTGAGCTAACAACTGTTGCCAATCTTCTTTTTTCTTTTTTCCTGTTTTATCTCTCCAAATCCCCACTGTACATAGTTGTATATCTTTGTTGCAGGTCCTTCTAGTTGTGGCATGGGGGATGCCGCCTCAACGTGGCCTGACAAGCGCTGCCATGTCTGTGCCCAGGATCCCAACCAGTGAAACCCCAGGATGCCACAGAGGAGTGCGCGAACTTAACCACTCGGCCATGGGGCCGGCCCCTCTGCAAATTTTTAACAGTCTAGAAATCTGAATTTTATGTGGAAATGCGCAATATTTAAATATTAACATGTAGTTTATTTTACTAAACATTTGTGTACCTGAAGCAACGCATATCTTCTGCCTAGTTGTAGCCAACTGGACACATATTTTCAACCACTGGTTGAAGACCTCACCTGCCGTTTTCATTTACTGAGAAACTACTATGTGTTTGGTGAACACAAGTGAAACAGAACTACATATGGCATGATTGATGTCCACCTGGTGGGGGAGGTAGCAGCTTAACATATGGTGCCATGTGGTGAGTTTGTGAAAGATGGACCTGAGGCAACATGGGAAGAAAAAATTAACTCAAGGGAGTGGCATGTGAGTTAAACCAATCTTCGGGGATGAAGGGGTGTCCAGCTGTCAGGAGTCTGCCAAATTGTTGCATTTGGTTAATTTAGTCTTAATGACTAATCTGTGCTAATCTCTCGTTAATGAGGGTGCACTACTTCTCCGTCACTCCTCGTCAAGGTCTAGGATCCATTTCAGCCACTCACTGCAATTTTTTTTAACAGTATTATCGAAATATAACTTACAAAGCATATAATTTACCTATTTAAAGTGTATCATTCAGTGTATTTTAGTGTATTCACAGGTCTGTGCAACCATTACCACAATCTAATTTTAGAACATTTTTGTCCCCCTGAAACAAATCCCACACCCATTAAGTCATTTCCTGTTTCCTCCTCCGGAGCCCTAGGCAAACACTAATCTATTTTCTGTCTTTATAGACTTACCTATTCTGGACATTTCCTAGAAATGTAATCATACATTATGTGGTCTTTTGTCACTACTTTCACTTAGCACAGTTTTTCCAAGGTTCATTCATGTTGTAGCATGTATTAGTATGTGATTTCTTTTTATTGTCAAACAATATCTCACTGAATGAACATACCACATTTTATATATCCATTCATCAGTTGATGGACATTTGGGTTGTTTCTACTTTTTGACTATCATGAACTATGTTACTATGAATGGTTGCACACAAGTTTTTCTTCTTTCTCTGGCATGCATACCTAAGAGAAAATTGTTGGATCGTATGGTAACTCTATGCTTAAAATTTTTAAGAACTGCCAAACTCTTTCAAAGTGGCTGTACCATTTTACATTCCCACCAGCAATTCACGGGGGTTCCAGTTCCTCCATATCGTCAGCCACACTTAGCTTGTCTTTTATACTATAGTCAACAAATCAGTATGAAGTGCTATCTCTTTATAGTTTTGATTTGCATCTTCAATAACTTATGAGGTAAAGAATATTTTTCTATAGTTATTGGATATTTGCATATATTCTTCGGAGAAATAACTCAAATCCATTCCCAGTTTTTAATTCTTTTACTTGTAGTTTTATTATTGAGTTATAGGAGTTCTTTATATATTCTACTTAAAAGTCCCTTATCAGACATATGGTTTGTAAATATTTTTTCCCATTCTGCAGGCTGCCTTTTCAATCCCTGATGGTATGGTTTACATTACAAATTTTTAATTGTGATGATATGAAATTTGCCTGTTCTTTCATTTTATGCTGTCGCTTTTGGTGTAGTATGAGAAACCATAGCTTAACTTAAAGTCATGAAGATTTTATACTTATGTTTTATTCTAATAATTTTGTGGTTGTTGCTTTTTCGTTTAGGCCTATGATGAATTTTGAGTTAATTTTTGTGTATGTTGTGAGGTAGGAGTCTAACTTCCTTCTTTTGGGTGTGTCTTAGAACCACATCTTGCAATGACTGTTTTTCTCCACGGAATTTTTTCTCCACTGTTGTTGAAAATCAATTGAGTATAAATGTAAGGATTTCTTTATGGACTTGAATTCCATTCCACTGATGTATGTGCTTATCCTACGCTTGTACTACACTGTCTAGCATATTTTAGCTTCGTATTAAATTTTTTAGTCAGAAAGTGTTAATCCTCCAACTTTTTTCTTTAAGTTTGTTTGGCTATTCTTGATGTCTTGCAGTTTCATGTGAATTTTAGGATAGATGTCAGTTTCTGCAGAAAAAAAAGGAAGCATGACTGGGATTTCAACAGGAATTGGATTGAATATGTAGACTAGATTGAGAGTGTTGCCATTTTAACAATATTAAATCTCCTGTTCCATGACAATGGGATGTCTTTCCATTAAGTTGTTTTCTTTAATTTTTTTCGATGATGTTTTGTAGTTTTCAGTACACATCTTGCATCTAATATTAAATTTGTGCCTGAAGTATTTTATTCTTTTTGATGCTATTATGAATGGGGTGGTTTTCCTAATTTTATTTTTGGGATGCTTGTCAACGTGTAGAGATACAGTTATTGTATGTATACTGCTCTTGTATCTTGCAGCTTTACTGAACTAATTTAATAGTTCTAATTGTGTTTTTAGTGGATTTTGTAGGGTTTTCCATATATAAGATTATGCCATCTTCAAATATAGTTTTAGATTTTCCTTTCCAATGTGAATGTCTTGCATTTTATTTCCTTGACTAATTATCCTGGCCATAACCTCCAGGGCAATGTTGAATACAAGTGATGAAAGCAGACATATTTGTTTTTGTCTTGTTCCTGATCTTAAGGGAAAAACAGTCTTTCACCATGAAGTATGACATTAGCTGTGGATTTTTCTTAGCTACCATTTAGTAGGTTAGGAAATTAGCTTCTATTTCCAGTTTGTTGAGTATTTTCATCCTGAAAAGGACATTGGAGTTTTTCAAATGTTATTTCTGCACCTATTAAGATGATCTTGTGTTCTTATCCTTTGTTCTATTAATATGGTACATTACATTAATTAATTTGAAGATGTTGAACCAAACTTGAGTTCCCTGGATAAATCCAACTTGGTCATGGTGTAATTTTACATATATATATATATATAAATATATATATATTATTTTTGTGTATGTATATATTTTGTGTGTATGTGTAAATTTTGTGTATATATATATAAATGTTGCTGGATTGGTTGCTTTAGTATTTTGTTGAGAATCTTTGTGTCTATTTCCATAAGGAATATTAGTCTGCAATTTTCTTTGTTATCTTTTTCTGTTTTGGAATCAGGATAATATTGGCCTCATAGAATGAGTTGATAAGTGTCCCCATCTC